GTTCGCTCAGCCCTATTTAAGCAACGTACCGGCGGATTAGTAGTTAGGTGGGTGACCACTAGCGAATACCCGCTGTTGTATGTTTTTGCCATTGTTTGGCTCTTGTAGCCGACCTTCAGCTGTCTGCGCACGAAACCTACACTTCATCAACAGCATTCCTTACTTTTTGTCAGCGCTGGGCGCAGGCTTCCTCAAAACATGATATTCAAAGACAGTAGTTGAGAAAGAATTAATGTGCTGAATTGTTAACTAGTTATTGACAGACATTGCAAAGCTGTTATGTACGCAAGTAGAGGATTCGGTAGGGACAGGAACAAAGTCGGAGTAAGCGGTATCCGCCTAAGCCAATTGCTTCTGGATGAAAGTGCTGCCCATGTTCTGAGTGGGCGCATTATTGGAGTACTGGAGGTGCTGCGCGTTGATACCAAAACCATGCAAAGTATCGCAGACGCCGTCCCCAAAGATGCACACGTCAAGCGTCTTGGGGATCCAGGTGCTGGGAATCCCCGTCCCGAGCGCGCTAGACATACCATTGACGTTGCGCGTCGTCGTACCTCCATTGTTGTCGACGTTGCACGCTAGACCAGACTTGTGCGCCGGATTGCCGATCAGAAACACGCCCTTGACGGCGGCGAAGGCGGCACCTGTCAGCTTCGGCATGGCGTTCACGGTGGCATCGGCGCCCTGGGAGTATCCCTCGAGGATGAAACACTCGTTGGGGTTTGTCGCCAGGGTACGAGTGATCTTGTTGACGATGTCGGCGGTGCCGGCTGCAGAGTTCTGGGAGAAGCTGGCTGCGTAGACGGTGTTGTAGATTTTGCCGCCGCTGAGAGCAGAAGTGACGCGGGAGTTCATCGTCTTGAAACCAGAGGACTGACCCTGGGGTTCGCTTGTTCCGCGCGTGTTGATGATTGTGTATGAGGGGCAGGAGGCGGATGCAGCGCGCTTGACATCCTCCACGGGAGCGGCGAAGGTGCCTGCGAGGAGAGGGAGACAAGCGAGAAGAGTGGAGGCGTGCATTTTGAGTGAGGTTGTTGAGTGAAAGTTGCTGATTGAATAAGTGAATGTATGTCTGGTGTTGAAGAGCTGTGGAGCTGATGAGGTTGATGCAAGTGCAGTTCGTTGTACCTATACTCATGTCGTGCTCCCGCAAGTAAGACATCAGGTCCGGTAAACAAAGCAAGTTTGGCTACCGTAGTGTCAATTCACTTGGTCAGTGACTGATCTGTTGCTCTGATTAACACGTCTGCCGACCACATGCCGACTCGAGGATAAGAAAGAAGCATACACTGCCCTTGGCGACCACATTGGCATCCTCGAGCCACAGCCAGTCCCTCATCCCCCATTTGCCGAGATGCTGGAATGTGGCCAACACCTGTCCAGTTACTACTCCTCCTGTTCGCCCGTGCGGAAGAATGATGGCGGGAGACGGGATCTCTAATGCTTGCGATTCTGCATCAGTGCATTGCAACCCTGGCCCTGCTCGAAACTCTACGCAGCTTCAAACCAAGGCTACCTGCAGGCACCCGCATCTGGCGTGCAAGCCGGTCGAATGATGGGTCGCGCTACACTAGTCTAAGATGTCGGTATGAAGGACCGCAGGGTCTTGCGCCTTTAGACAGTGCTGATGTGTTCAGATCCACAAGTCTAATCCAAAAGTGCAGGGTTGTCATGAATGGTTTTTCCTTGGTTGAAGTCATGACAGAAGCGTGATTGCATGACATGCAGCCACAAAACGTGGGCGGCCTGTCACAAATGTCGAAGTTGGCAACGCAAAGCAGCATGTCAAACGAACGGCGTGACCCTCAAATAAGAACAGCTCTGAGAGACAGGAGGTGTCAACCCGTACGTGGTACAGGATCGCCTTAGGATTCTGGCTTTGAGACTGGACCTCAAAAGGAACTGCACCGACATCCCACAAATGATCGGCACCAGGCTCGAGCCTCGGCAGGAGGGCTAGGGGCTGTCGCAGAGCACGGTAAGCGATGCGCCTTGTTGTTTCTAAGCAGAAACATGACGACAAAGGAGGAAGCCTGTGCTCAGCGCTGACAAAAAGTAAGGAACGCTGTTGATGAAGTGTAGGCTTCATGCGCAGACAGCTGAAGGTCGGTTACAAGAGCCGAACGATGGCAAAAACATACAACAGCGGGTATTCGCTAGTGGTCACCCACCTAACTACTAATCCGCCGGTACGTTGCTTAAATAGGGCTG